TCAGGTGAGCTTTTCCTCCAGTAGCTGGAGCGATGCCTGTTGATGCGCTCAGTGTTCCTAACCTCAAACTGCTACAAAAGGATGCGCAGAGGTTCGGACGGGGCTCTGATTCTGAGGAGCTCCCAGCCGAGAAAGGACTTGATGAAAAGGTGCGTTCAGGAGGAGCCAAGGAGAGCTGCGGAGTGCAGTGGAAGTGAAGGACGGAACACTAACCCTAGAGCAGGTGGCAGGTGGCAGCCCCAGAATCCATGGGAATGGATGTGTCTTCAGATGGCCTCCAGTCAATGACAGGATCTCCGGATCTATCATCAGGGTAGAGGTCTGGAGTTGGGCAAAAAAGACAGATAGGCAAACTGATGATTCCTGGGATAAAGTGTTCAGAGAGTCACTCCTTTCACAGAGTATCTGGTCAAGAGGAAAACTCCAGAAAGTAAAAACTATGTAGGGATAGTTTGAAGGTTCTTTAGATAAGAGAGCAGAATGCCCATGAGAGTTAAAAATACAGCAAAGAAAATGTATGAAAATCAATGGAGTTTAGAAGTTCAAGTTTAAAAATGCAATATAAATCTACCCCTTCCCTCCAAAAACAAAAGCAGGAAGTGATAGGAGAGGGAAATAGAAAAGGAAATAGGAAAGATGAAGGGAGGCCATTGTCACAGAAGTAGCAGACAAATAACTCAACCAAAAAATATGAAAACGTCACCTCATCATATATTGTGAAATATTTAAAATTGATGATCAAGTGTAGGACCTGAAAGATCTGACAATAGAGGAGGTCAGATGCCAAACATCAGGCTTCCCTAAGCTGAACCGGAAAAGGGAACCGGAAAAGGGAACTGCCCCAAAAATTCCAGAGGAGGGGGATGGAGGGAAGAGGCTAAGCATGCAGCACAGAGGGAAGCCAGGCATACAAACAGGACACTCTAGCATAGCAACTAAAAGTAATCATGAAAGAATTAGAACCCAAATGTAACTGTGTCCCAGGAAGAATTAATGGAGAAAGAAACATACAGACAAATTGAGCCACATAAGTTTTGGACATTTCAGCAATCGAGGACCTACTACATCATCCAGGAAGAATAGACAGTATTTCCAGAAGTAAAAGTTATAAGTTAGCTCTGATATCCCACAGCAACAGTTAATGGCAGGATTCAGTGAAATAATCTGTAACATTCTTTGAGATTAAAAAAAAAAAAAAAGGAATTCCTGTGTCTTGTTCTCCTCCACACGGCTCTTCAACGGTCACAGCAGCTGTAGACAGCCCCAAGGACCCAAGACCAGATGCAAGCAGCGTGGATGCGATTTTCTGGTATATCCACTCTGGGGTGAAATGCGCTGCTTCGAGGTATGTGAACTAAGGGAATCAGAAACAGCGAGACCTTGGAGAGGACCCTGGACTCAATTTTAAGAGCTCACCAATGTGGCATGTTAGCACTCTGACTTCTAGTAAAGCAGTATCAGAAAAAAAAGGGGGGGGGAGGATGAAGGAGACAATGCTGGAGAAAATCTGTATGTCTGTATGTGACATTTTGTCATTTTTGTGGTTGCTTGCATAAAGTTCGGTGTAAAGTTATTATTTTAAAGTTGACTATGATATGTTATAGAGAAAGAATTTTGCTATTTTTTAAAATAACTCACTAAAATTTTATTTTTAATTAAATTTAAGTAACTTAAGAAGCACTTGTATATAATTTATGTTTCAAAATATATTTCTGATTTTTTCCTGGCCTTGTCAAATTAAAAAAAAAAATCTTTTTAGCCTTTCTTCCCAGATTCACAACCTTTATTTACATACTTTGCGCTCCTTCTCTCCCTCCCTCCCTCCTTCCCTCTCTCCCTCTCTCCCTCCATCTCTCCCTTTCTTTTTTGTTTCTGTCTGTCTGTTCATGTGTGTGTGGAGGAGGTGGTAGTGATATCTGTGTGTGTCTGTATGAAAAAGGGAGAGAGAGAGAGAGAAAGAGAGAGAGAGAGAAAGAGAGAAGAGAAAAATTATTCATCAAATATAATAATATATCTGAATTTCTACTCAAGAATTTAAAATGTATTTGTTTTTAAAATGGATATTAAATTCACAGGTTAAAGTTAGAAAGAATATGTTAAAAGTCACATATTCTTCTCCATGTCAACATTTCCCCAGTCTAGCTACAGATGTAATATTCCATGGATGAGCGTCTATGTGTCTACCATCAAGAACTATTATATCAAGGTAGTTCCACTTTGCATCTCTCTTACGGAAGTAAAATGGAGCCTTTGCCTCTCATGAAGGCTTTTCATAGTTCTTTCTCTGGGAACTCAAGTTTTCTTTGGGTGCCTTTCAATTGGCCTTACAATGGCCTTCCATTTTCTTGCAGCTTTTTTTTTCTGTGTTACTTTTATATAAGAATTTATACATTTCAAAGAATAATATTTATAGGGCTGAATTGAAAAGCATGACAGTTAAGAGAATTTGCTGCTCTTACAGAAGACCCAGGTTCACTCCCCAGCACCCACGTCGTAGAACTCATAACTATCCTTAATTCAAATTCTAGTAGATCTTGTGCCCTCAGCTGACCTCTGCAAGCACCAGGCACACATGTGTCACTATGGTGGTTTGAATAGGAATGGCCCCCATATATGCATGTGTTTGAAAATTTGGTCTATAGGGAGTGGGACTATTAGGAGGTGTGGCCTTGTTGGAGTAGGTGTGGCTTTGTTGGAGGAAATGTGTCACTCAGGGATAGTCTTTGAGGTCCCAAAAGCTCAAGCCAGTTCATTTCTTCCTGCCTTCAGATCAAAATGTAGAACTCTCAGCTCCTTCTCCAGCACCATGTCTGCATGTATTGCCATGCTTCCTGTAATGATGAGAATGAATTAAACCTCTAAACTGTAAGCCAGCTCTAATTAAATGGTTTTGTTTTTAACAGTTGGGATGGTCATGGTGTCTCTTCACAACAATAAAGCTCTAACTAAGACATGTGTGTGTACATATGTTTGTGTGTGTATATATGCCAACCATTCACACACATACAATTTTTTAAAATGTCAGTAAACTCTAAATGACCATTAAAAACATAGCTGAGCTACACAGAGAAATCCTGTCTTGAAAAACAGCTTGCTAGTCGCCACATATTTTCAGATAGACTCTGTTTGCTGGCGTGAGGCAGAGGCACCGCTCCTATAGAAAAGTCTTCCTGACTCAGTATTAGTGGCAAAAATTGTATGACTCCTTTAAGAGCTGGCTTCCTAACTTATGCTGGCAGCACAAATGCCTCGGCTCTTTTGGGAGTTCCTGCACTTAAGTGGGCTTTGTGAGCAGCATGCTACTAGTTGCTTAATGGTGACAAACCTGCTGCATTCCTGCAGCTGGGGCAGTGACCATGGCTAGCAGAGGCAGTGAACATGCTTCTGACATGTTGGGCGAGGCAGAGCAAACAGGCAGGGGTGCGGAGGTAGTCCTAGTCATGCCTGCTTAGCATCCTAACAGTAGCAAAATTACAGTTACGAAGTAGTAATGAAAATAATTTTATGGTTGGAGGAACTGTATTAAAGAATGGCAGCTTTAGGAAGGCTGAGAACCACTGCTCTAAATAGGAAAAGCAATGTCTGATGTCCAAATCATGGGATAATGCAATGGTGACATTTGTGATTAATTTAAATACTTTCTTCCCTGATCCCCACTTTAATGATGGAGCAGTATTTGTTTATATGCATTATGGGAACACAATTCCCATGATGTCTGAGTGTGTTTATTTTTGTACAATAACTTCAGTGTTGTGGATGAGTTCAGCTAAACTTACTGTTCTGTACAGCTTCATGGAGGGCCCATTAGAGGGTTTTGTTTTGATCGTGAAATAAATAAGAGGAGGGAGATAAATTGAAGTTGTCATTCTCCTCATTGGCAAGGCATTGATTCTTTGAAGAAAGAAGAGCATGTGCCAGGAAGAGCTGGCTCAGGTGCTGGCCGGGTCACTGACTGCCTGTGATGTAGCAGCCAGATACTGAAGAGTCGAAAGGCTCTGCTCCCATCTGGAAAACAGACCTCTTTGCACATATTCTCATTCCATCCATTCTTCAACTGGACTTTGGGAGCTCAGTCCAGTGCTCCGATGCGGGTCTCTGCCTCTGTTTCCATCAGGTGCTGGATGAAGGTTCTATGGTGACATTTAAGATATTCATCAGTCTGACTAT